GATTTACTAATACGTAGTCTATTTCGTTGTGTTACTCCTTAATGGGAGATTCCCATGTCCACCATTGATAGTGAGGTTCTTGGAATTGTTAGTGATCATGGATGATTTTGGTCGCCAAGACAAACTTAGGTAGCCGCTCACCATGCTCATTTCATTCTTGTCCGTGGGTCCAAATGTGGCATTCTTCAGACGTTCTAGGTCAAATTTTGACTTAAAAATCTCCAACAATGAGCTTGAAGAATGTATGGTTTATTGTGAAGAACTTTACGATGTACATATGGAACGCTTCAACTTCGTCATCGTCATAGCTTGATGTTGCTGCGTAAGCAGCGAAGATGGTCAAAGCCGGCATTGATCTAAATCGCTTCAGACGCAATCGTTCAGTGTGGTTGTTAGTTGCTCATGAGGAGTGAAGTTCGTGGTTAGATTCCATGTGACGAGGACACCAGCGCCGCGTGCTCCTCTGCTGCAATCGCATGTTCCAAGAAACAAATCTTTTCTGCGTCATATACATCGTGATAAGTATAGCGTTTTTTCGTCTCAGCCAGGCCAATGACAGTGTACCTTATCCTTCCTGCTTGCATCAATAGATCTCCCGCTGTGGATTAGTGTGCAAGTGCTGGCACGTTATGGGTAGAGATCGCCATTTTTGCCCTTTCCGATTCTGACTTCTTAGTTGATCTCGAGATTTTATGTTCTCTCCGTAGTCGTCCTGCCTAACACTGCTGTACCGAGGATTCTTGCGAGGTTGGGGGAATGACATCCATTTTCATTGCTATTTTTAGCTTTTGATATCCAGCGCATAGCTTTTCAGGCTCCAAACGTGGACGCTGGGCACACATAAGTAGCTTTCCAGTCTCTCTTGGAGGAGCTGGGGGAGTTTATTTGTTGGAGGCGACTCCTAATGGCCTCCGATGCATTACAGAGCCTCTTAATTGCAGGCTGTTGGCCAGTTCTGCTCGGAGAGAAGTGCTCTATCAAATTATCTCTGCAGAAGCAGGGAGCTCGTCCTATAATCCACCTGCGTCTTTGGAAAGCGCAGGGTCGCTCGTGGTTCGCGTTTATCTCTCCTATCCACCACCTAGGGACCCGTCACATGCCCTCGCGACTAATCGGACGGGATCATCCAAGGAGGGGGATCCGTGATCATAATGCTCATTATGACCACCGCAATCAAATAAATTGTCAAATACCTTTCCTTCAAGTGCTTTATTAAGACCACGCTCAAATTTCAATAGATCCTTTCATTATTATTTGAGCCAACATGTCATGTGGTCTGGTAAAGGCTCTTGTACAGCCCGTGTGTTACACTCAGTGTTAGGTGAATGTTTCACCTGACAAAGAGTGTAAAGCGTAGGTCGTCGATAACTATATATAAGGAGTGTGACGCTCCCGAGAGAACTGACTATGAAAAGATCGACAGACAACGGGTTCTGCCCGGCTGATGAGTCTGTAAGGACGAAACACGTGTCTCGGGCTGTACAAGAGCCTTTACCAGACCACATGACAAATTGTCAAATAGTCTGTTATCATTATGTACTTGAATCAAATTTTACCATGCAAAGGAGACTAACAAGGCCCCGCGTCATGTAAACCTTCCGCTCCTTATTGATCTTGTGTTACATTGCAATAACAAGCCTCGTCATGATTTTGTGACAATTTATAATTGCAGCGGTAGTTTCAGTAAGACGGCTCGTGAAGAAGAAGCGATCCCTCTCTCTGGATAGGGACTTTCTGTAAGTGCGTCAGCAATCATTCAAACGCTCAGATCTACATCAAGTGTGGCACTTTACCGGCTTTTGAAAAAGCCTTAATTTCAACTCTTCTACGAAAGGAAAGCATTTGTGTTAGACACGTGCTTACTTTCTGGCAAGACAGAGCTCTTTCTTCAGACATTTACTAATCATTCGATAGCTTAAGATTTCAGTATCCCAAAGCTGAACATGATTTCTGGAAAAAACCATTTGTGTGCAGTGTAGCACCAGGGAAAATAAGATTGATTCACGCAGGTGAACAAGTGTACTTCGGCTGATTCACGAGCTGCTTGCAAGAGCTGCAGGAGCGGTGGAGGAGGAAGGGTGTGGTAGGGGCCGCAACGTTTATAGATCATGGCCACTATGTACAGTGTGATTTTTGTTATTTTATTGTGAACTGTTTCTTCACTCTGAAGGAAACTCTAAATAAAGATCTTACTCTGATAATAAAAGATTTTCTTCATACGTTCATGTACTTTTTGTACTTTCGGAGAGGTAATAGCTAAATTGCGCAGCTCCTGTGGAACCAATTTTTGGAAATCTAACAGCATATAAAAGGGTCTTTTCAAAAAACCGACTACGTGCTGATCTAACCAGGGATTTGAACTTTCGAATGATTACTAACACTCTCAAAGAGAGTTTTTGTAGAGTGAAAGGGTTTCTTTCTTTATCTCGTGGTATCTAACGGAAAAGGCTACATCTAAAGTAATACATAACAATTTGATATCAACTGCTGTTTAAGTTATTCGTATGCAGAGCTACACCTTCAGTGAAAACATTCTATTCCAAGCAAAATCACGAAGGCTTCTTTTCATAATCGTTGCTTAGAGTCCTTTCATCAACCAGTAATTGAATTCAAAGTCCATGGGATATACATAATACATCCTATAAACGTGACGGTTGCATGCTTTACCGTGTGCATTTAGATTTCACTGATTTGATGCATACCTAAACAAAAGCTGTGCGAATAAAGAAACACTCGGCATTGCAATATTCCTATCCATTCTTCGAAAGGTGCGAACTTTTCAAATATGCGGCCACGTCAATAGTTTGAAAAGATTAATAATTCTTCTGGATTCAATCCCAGCGCTCAAAAATTGTTTCTTATCCTGCAATGCGGTTGAAGACTAACATAATGGACTTCTTTTTGAATATTACAGAAGCCCAAATGCCTACAAAGTTTTAGCAGTTCAGCAAAATCGCTGGCCTGCAAATTCTCACCTAAATTAACTTTGGTTGCCGTATAACCAGCAAAAGTGCTCTCGTATTTGTGCACTTGAAGTGAAACTGCGCTCATCGTTTGCGTTGTTCGTAATAAATAGGTATCATTTCATCATTTCAAGTCATTCCAAGTGGTAGTGCGCGATTGCGAATGCGACGCTGTGTATATTTGAGGTCATGCACGTTTTAGTGAACAAAAAGTTCAGGGGGTGCAGGGGTGCTTTGAAAAGTTGGAGACGTGGGCTTGTAGGCCCAAGTCTCAGCTTTCGAATGGTTAATAACAATCCTATGTAATTCCTCTCCAGCAAATGAGATCGGTTTTCCATATGTCTCCTCGTAACTGGAAGGGACCGAATTTTTTTTTGTCAGTGAATCAGTGGATAAGTTTACTTAGAAAATTTCTCAACTAAATTCGAGCCTGTAGCAATGAAGGACGTAATGAAACATGAGGAAAGAGAACCATGTAGCTTTGCGAGTTCGACAGCGTTACGATATTACTTTACTTTTGATGCAAACTTTCCGCTCATCTGATTAGTTACCAATTCAAAAGTACGACTTTCTATCAACCTCAGCATAATTAATTGATATATGAAAATGAGAAAACTTATCTTGATAAGCTGACGCGAGGTTCGTAAACTAGTCGTAGCAATTCGGCTCACGTTTCGGCGACCCGCCTTCTTCAGAGCCTGGGCGTGTGTAGTATTAATTTATTTGAATGATTCGGAGGATCTTCTCTATATGCTGCTTAGGTCAGGTTAAGAAATCAAACGAAGAAAAGGCGCGAAATCTCGTGCGACGGTGACGCATTCGTCCTTTCGTTTCATTTCGGGGCTTTGGGCGTTTATCCAAAATGCCTCAAGAGTTTTGCGCGTGGATGTTTTTCATTCCTGCGCTACGATTGTGACAGTCACATCAATATCCTTGTTGCTGTGTTTTTGTGCCCTGTGTAAACCTAAAGGTTTGATTTTATCTATTTCAGATTTACTATCTAGATGTTCTCTTACGCGGATTAAAAGTGGTCTACCCGTTTCGCCTATATATTATTCCCCGTATGTCTTACATGTTAGCAAATAAATTGTGCCTGATCTCATACAATCCCACTCTTTTCCGTTAGGACAGATCATACAGTTTTTGGTGTTGCACAATCGATCATAAAATCTATTGCGGGTCAGCTGATAGCGTAGGGTGGAGAGGTGTGATTTTAATAACTACCACGGAATTTTCAGGACCGCATCTTTTCAGGCACCTTTTTACCGCGCTACTGATTTCGTTTGATATAAATGGCAGTTAAAGGTCTATTCAGTTGCGGAGTATTGTTCTTTCGGGACGTAATTCCACTTTTTTAATACATCCAAGTGGCAAATGTTCTGTAGCCGTTGGAAATGGCAATTTTTTGTGCCTAGTCCAACGATTCGTTCCTTTCCTCTTTTCCTGTGCACACATTTTTAACCGTTCGTAACATGTTTTGGATTAGTAATTTTTTCATGCGTGAAGGATGAGAGGAAAGGTGATTGACCAAAATGTTTTTGTTACTTGGTTTTCCATACCATTTTGTACTATAGCCACTATTCAAAAGCTTTACTTGGATGTTCAAGGATGGAAGCCAGCTCCCGTTTGGACTCTTTCGCCTAAGTTTTATATGCCCTGACTGTCCGTTCAAGACTACAAAACACTTGTCCTTTTTCTCTTGTGTAGAACAGACAATGAAACAATCGCCTATACACCGGCAGTAGAGGAGTGGGCGATGAACGAGAACTGGAGCTTCCACCTTATACACAAGATGGCAAGACTAGGTGCTAAAAGTTCACCATGGCTAACCCCCTGAGGGGCTTTGCAAGGCGTAATAGCAAAGACTCCCGCTGCGCCGCGCCGCAGGACAGTCTGAGCAATAACAGCTCAGATCGTTGTCAACATGTTGAAAAGACTGATTTGGATTCCGTTGGGGTTCAGCCCATATATGCTTCAATCGTGCTCGCTGTGAAGCTCTTGATTACACTCCAGTTTTGTCGGCCTGCAACAAGCATTTCTTTCAGCGATGTCCGAGTGGTTAAGGAGATTGGCTCGAAGTCACTTAGGTTCTGGCCGCGTAGGTTCGAATCCTGCTCGGAGAGGAACTTTTGTTTAAACACCGCTGCATTCAGTCGGCGTCGTCAAATTTGGGCAACGAAGCACAAGTGATCAAATCGAATTCCACTCTCCTTTTAAGTTTCACGAAATCTGCAATACATTTAGTTGCTTCCAACCGATGTTACTATCACGAAAACTTGATCATCAATACATATGGTAAACTAGGTGGCAATGCAGCGCAACGGCTAAAACATTGTGCAGAGCAGCGATGTCCGAGTGGTTAAGGAGATTGACTAGAAATCAATTGGGCTCTGTTCGCGCAGGTTCGAATCCTGATCGCTGCGAAAGTTTTGATTGCGCCGAACCTGTGTTGACTCGCCGACATCGAACACGAACAGCGATGTCAGAGTGAAATATCATATCATTCGCTTTGACTTTTTTGACCACGCTCAACTTTCGTTATGCCTAATAATCACTTTTGAGCTACGTTGTCAGAGCGGTTAACACGTTGAAGTTCTGCACGGCATGCGGCGCCGTCACGCTGCGAACTCGGTGGCTACAATGACGTTGTGGCAGTTTTCTAAAGGAATTTGGATTTTTATCGTCACTAAAGGGAATTCCGTCGCCAGTGATTTTCGACCGGTACCCATTTGGTATACGGAGAACTCCGTCCAAAAATGTCTGTTTAAGCGTTGCTCGAAGTTACACTTTTTCATATTACTCATAGCTAATGAGTATGTAATTATGACTATGCCAGTGCTAAAAAGCGCTTAAATATAAAGAATTACTATCGATTACAACTAACCCGCATATTGGGGGTTGAGATATCAGCACAACAGTGCCAACAAATACACTTTTACGAATCCAAACTCTGTTGGTGAGTAACGCAGCTTACTTGAAACTACCTTGCAAATGGTAAATTGACTTCTAATTGAAACGTGGCAGGCTTCGAACCTAGTACAGAGCTAGAATAGACAGTGAACTATCGAGGAACGCGTTCTGAACAGCCTTTTTTCAAGACATTTTCTTCCGAAATCGTTTATCGATGTTCGTCAGAGCACCAGGTGCACTTGCTGACCAATGGATGTAGAAAGTGAGACGACTTACCACCAGGATCCATTATTTAAGTTTCGATTGTCCGAAAAAAGACGCTTGACGTTATGCAAAGGATGGCGGCAAATTTCATGATATGTTTGATTTGGAGCAGTTCTAATTTTTCTTCAGCTTAAACCTACTTAGCTACTATTCATATGCTATTTAGAGTAACATAATATAACAATCTCATAGCGTTAATATGAACTCAAGTTCAATGGTATCACCTACCGACCCGCTGATCGTGCACTGACCGAGAGGGTGTTAGCACATTTTCCACCGGCTTCCTCCACGTGTAACATCAACCCCCTGACTTTAGCAAGACCTGTGGTCTTGTCAAGCATCATGTCTTTCATGCCGAGTTTTCGTGAAGACCTTTGACTGTCGCATCTGTGACCGTCTCGTGTGTGCTTGATATTCCATGGGACTTCCAAGCGCATTAACATCCCCTGTTTTTGATGAAGGCATGAACAGAATTCTCTAACACTTATGTTATAAAAGCGAAAGGTCTCACTTCCTTCGCTGAACTTTGTGCTGTTTTATCACCTAGAATACTCGTCTCATATGAATTTTATTGAGAGGTTCGTATCAGACCTTGTGGGCCTACGAGGAACTTTTTATTTCAGCATCCTGTATTAGTATAGCTGCTGAAAAATTCGTTGAAACCATTATGAACGTCAGAATCTTGAGCAGTATGAGAACGACAAGACGATCTTTGTGTCAGCTTATAACCACGAGGTAAGAAAATTGTCCACTCTGTATTTCCACATATCATATTTCCTATAATTGTAGAAAAAACTTGAAACATTACTTTTTAGTATTTGTTATGATTAGTTCTTCTAACAATATATATATTTGTGAAATAATCGCTGTTATTAGTATCATCATTATTTCTAAAATTATCATTATTGTGAACATAAAGAGGCCTGGACGTCTCTTGGATCGCTCACAAAGCGATGCCTCAGGGATTGAGCAGGTAATGCAGTTACGAGCAGAGCTGGTTAGTCAGTCAACTAACAGTAGAGGACCAACTAACAAGACGACCGTGTGTGCTCATATTGTCCATAATGGGCCTACCTTTCAGGCTCAATATTCGAAGATTTTGGTACAAACAACCTTCTAAGTCAATGGTGACGACGTGCTACAAGACGTAGCACGCCAGTGGCATCGCCTCTCACTCAGCTACTGTAATTGTTTTCGTCGACAGCAGAATTTTGTAGTGGTGCCCGCCGCAACGAATATAAAGGAGATTTCGAGGTAAACTGGGTTTCTGAAAAGGTATCATCATAACTAAATGATAGATGATCTCAGAAAACACTCTTGTAATGATTATTAAGAAAAAAGAACACCCATGAGCCATTGAATTTTCTATGTTCAAAAGAGAAAACAACATCTCTCTGGAAAAATTTTCCAGCTGCAATGTATAGCTTTGCTTCATTTTTTGAATCATTCAATAGCTTCAGAAATATCTCATAATTATTATATGAGGTAACATATCATGTGGTCTGCTGTAGCGCTGACCTATAAAGCCCGATACACGTGTTTCGACCCTGACGATCTCATCAGTCGGGCGGTACCCTTCATCTTTAGCCGATCCTCTCGGGGCACTCGGCTTATCATACTAGGAGTATTGAGAAAAAAGTGGTCTTAGGAAAGCACTCGAAAAGAAAGGTATGATCCATTGAAGATACCTGCCAAGAGCAATCGAGTGTACAACATTCATTGATAATTTCACTTGATGGACGGTGTAAAATGTTCGCTCTCGCCAACTCGTAGTACAGGAACTAAGCTCCCCGAGAGGACTGGCTAAAGACGAAGGGTGACTGCCCAACTGATGAGATCCTCAAGGTCGAATCACGTGTATCGGGTTCTATAAGTCGATCCATTCAACAGACCACATGACATGTTTGCTTAAATAAGGATTATGAGAGATGTTGAAATTCGAACGTGGTCTTGAGAAACACTCGAAACGAAACCTTGATAAATGTTTATTTCGGTTCTTGAATACAATTTTTGAGCTCTGTAATCTTTTCAATTTCTATTCTCATTTGTGAACCGCACATGACAACGACTATCTCAGAAATTTAGCTCGCTACGCTTTTAGTGATTACTGATTACAAAGCAAATACTCTTTTAAACCGCATATTAATACCGGCCACTGGAAATAATTTGATTTTGGCCACTCGTGCGAAGTTGTTGGCAAACACGAATGTGACGAACATGTAGTGAAAGTATATGGGCTCCGTACAGCTCTAGGATTTGATCTCCGTATTATAATCATTATTGAAATACTAACATCGTACTCGTGATAGCACTGAGGAAGGGATGACGGCCTCTGATTCAAAATCACCTTTTAACGCTGGTGAATACATGAGAGATTTTTCGTCATACGGTATAATCATGCACTATTCTCCTAAAAGGCGAATTGCTCGAATCGAACGCTTCTAATTGAATACTTCTTAAATGCAATATTTTCCTTTGGATACATCGAGATATTCCTAGTATTAATGTATCAGTCCGCTACTGTTCCTACAACAAATAAAACTGTCAAAAAATTCTGTCTTTCATTATAACGGAAACCATTCCATTCGTACTAAAATCACCACAAAACTTCATCGCACTTCTGAGATCGTAGATGTGGTGCTAATTTTTGGAGATTTTAGGTTCTAGATGGCCTATACTATTATGGTCAATCGTCATAATGGGACATGGATTACTCGTTCTCTTGCTATCCATAACTTTTTCTCTAATTCACCATTGCGTGGTATGCTGCAGGAGTCGAGCTGGATATGCGGTGTGCACTCTTGTGCAGGAGTACCTACAGATTTGCTAGAGAATATTCTTACAGCATGTGATATCGAACAGTTATATGTGGCCTTATGTATACTTTTATCTTTCCTTTTGGTGGCTTTCATTCGGATATTCAGTTCCCTGATGACCTATTGAAAAACCTACTGAAGTCTCAGAGCTGCTGTATGAGGCTTCTCAAAGTGTGATCATTTGGTACTCTTTCAAATAATTTCTTTTTTTCTGATGATGATATTTATCGACATAGAAAAAGTGATTTATATTCTTGCTAAGAATGATGAGCACACCTCATCGATGTTGTTTGACAGCGACGTTCAATCACAATAATTAACAGACTTGTATTTATTCGTAATTTTAATACGTACTCACGATCTTCTTCCTTTATCGATGATAGCTCTGAAGCTTAGTGATTTCAGATTTGCGTCGTCTTTGGATAATTGTAGAGGTGGCATGAGATTCACCGAAAGTATTCCGCATGAAATTTGTTGAAAATGCAAAGTTAATGAACATTTAATATGGTCCAATGGCATAAGGCATTTAAACAATCTTGCTGTAAAATTTCCTAGCAAAAATTCCACTGGAAAAAATTCTCTGCAATTCACTAAGGTCTTGTTGGATTTGTGCTCCTTTTATTTACAACATAATGTAAATTTTTGAATGCTGACCAGGTGGTATCGACATGAATGCCTGCATTCCATTCCATAGTTACATGACACTCTTTCAGTCGCACGTTACCTTACCTCTTGAAAGAAGACTATGTAGTAGTTACGCTGTGAAGCTTTACTACTACATGGTATTTGTTCAAGAATTAGAATATAAAAGTGTAACATTTTGCAAACGGTGAGGATCATTTTGATCCTCAGTTGGGCGCCGCAAACCAACGCCTACCAACATTGGTGCGCGGTTCCGTAGAGATCCGCAGAAATTAAGATTTTACAACGATTTTATCTCTAAAAATTAACTAATATCACTGAGAATGCTTTTGCATGATCAATTTCAGTATCATCAGCGCCAAAGATACCTAAGGTCATCCATATTAAGGGAAAATCCATGTTCTTGAGGAAAAAATGTATTTGGCTAAATAAATATTGACTAATGAATACGTGACACTAAGAAGTGACATAAATGCGATGTGCACACTAAG